TGCTGCAGCTGATGTAACACTTTTAAAACCAAGTTACAATCATAAATTAATTATACAAGGAACCATGGACTTTACAAGTCACTTCATCTTTTTGTCACTTTAGCTTTTATTTTCAATCACATTCCCAGCTTCCCCCCTATTTGTTAGACATGTTAGACACAGGCTACGCTTTAACTCCGATCTAAAGGCTGGACTAAACAGCCCATAAATAAAAGGATTGACTGCACTTGCCAAACTACACATCAATGTGTACAGAACATAGACTTGCCGAGGGAGCTTGTACTCTCCAATGTGGGTCTCACAGTAACTAATAACACCCAACTGCATTGTACAAAACGTGAAAACCAGGAATATAGCGAATAGTGTTTTGGTGATGTTAATATCCTTTCTGTTGATAGTTGTTGTTGTTGTGTTGTTGGTTGTACTCGGGGCAGCGTTGGCTATCCTCTTGTTATGTGATCGCACCTTGATGTATATGCTGCAGTAACAAAAGATGGTTATGCAGTACGGCAAAAAGAAAATGAAACCATGCATGATGGAACGAGCAAATACACTTTGCCGTTTCGGATCATTTTTCATAGTGCAAACCATTTTTCCTGGATGGTAATGGAATTCTCTTCCAGTTAACAGTGAAAACGTTGGAATCACCCACCCTAATATCAGTTCAGCAAACAGCATTAACACCGTCCTTTTATGAGTGAATACTTTACGGTATAGATGGTCACCTATGACAATCTTTAAGTAACGGTTCACTGACATGAATGTTACTGTGAAGATGGAGTTGTAGACCAGTGCTATTGCAGCATAGGCCTGGAATTGACAAAGGACATGACTGAACGGCTTCTTGCCCAAGATGAAGACACTCAAGGTAAAAGGCCCGACAAACACCGCCATGGAGATATCCGTAAGTGCAAGGACCACCACACTGTAATTAGTAATGGTACGAAGCCTTGGACTTTGATAAACAGCACGACACACCAGAACATTACCAAGCAATGTTACTAACATGATGATGGTTAGTATCCCTGACTCCACTATTGTAGTACTCAGTGAACGATCTTCTAATTCTTGCTGTAAACGATTGAAATTCTTATGATCTGCCATTGGTCACTGATGATTACTGCTAATGCGTGCAGGTTGTTTTCAGTGTAGGAGGAACTCAATACTGAATAGTCAATATAAAAAACCCAGGTTTTATCGTCATATCTGAGTCTGCGCTCTTGGTCTACTAGGCGAGATTATGCCTAAACCATCTGCGCTTAAATGAGTTCATTTTTGTTATTATTGTATATCAAGCAGAAAAAGTGACGTTACTGACTTCAATTTTATATTTTAATGAAATGTGAAACAAAACAAAAGTCATAATTAAAAAAAAAACACTAGCTCTTTTTATTTAAGACTAGGCGGTAATCACTGAATGGCATAGACTGAGTGGAGTCCAATTGGGTCTGTAATCATACGATAGATTACTTAGTCCAATTGAGTATGATTACAGGCAGAATAGGGCAACACTCAKTCTGGTTACCAATTATACATAACTATTACCATTTCTGGAAAATTGTTTTCATGACAAACAATGCTATCCAGTAAAATGACCAAAAATAATGACATATTTTGGTGAAAAGGCAAGAAAAAGTTAGGAAAAAAATCTCATCAGCACGGTGCTCGATGGAGTAGCGATTGCGTGAACAAGCCTTTTTTCTATTGGTTACGTTTATTTATTATTTCAATAATATTTATAAAGGGACTTCTAATGTGAAAGATCTTCATGAAAAATATGCCTAGTCGACTTTCTTAATGGGGACTGATTTGGACTTCCTCTGCAAGTCTATGTTCTGTACACAGTGATATGTAGTTTGGCAAGTGCAGTCAATCCTTTTATTTATGGGCTGTTTAGTAATCGAAAGAGTTTTATAGTAAATTCTACTCGTATACAACCAAAAAACTTTATTAAAAACCATTAGTCGAATGGTGGAAATGTTTAATGTGTATGTGGTGAGAAGCTTTTTCCTCTCGCGCTATATTTATTTTATGAAGATAAATATCTAATTAAGTTTGTCATTCGATTTTTAATTTTCCATTATATGATTTGTTTTAATAAAACACGTCAAAACACGTTATCTAGTATGATCATGGAAAAGTAAAGCAAATATCTTCTGACGGTTGATGAAATTTTTAATGCTCGAATATCAAGGAAAATAATGTATGTCATAAGTGGAAAGCAAAAGCTTTCAAACATTACCATGGCTAGCTCTATTGTTTTTGGTTTCCCCTGGCCCCTGGTAACGAACTGACTGCAAAAACCTTTATGTAGCTAAGCGTCATGCTAGATGTTAAAGGCTTCTGACGCAGACGTTCCTGTATAAAGTATACTATTGCACTTTACCAGTTTATCATCATCATTGGTACGTCTCTGCATTAAGGTGGCTGCGGTTATTTTAAGGATGATCAGACCCTGCGTTTATAGTAAGGAAAACAAAGCCTAATAGTCCATTTGCACTGAACGGTCACGTGAATCTTTCCCTTCAAAATGAAGCAGTGGCAAACGATAAACAGAATAAATCGAATAAGCACCCCACTTTTTATAAAAAGGCGAAATGTAAAAAGAGAGTAAGCTAGTTTTTTCGTGTAAGTGGAAAACAACGATGCTAACAGCACGAAAGTTTTACAAATAGTTCGCCATTTTTTGTTTTTCAGTAAATGCTCTAATAACAAGATCAAGTTCTTTACAGGTCACCATGCTGTCAGTTTCCATGCTGTCAGTTTCCATGCTGTCAGTTTCCATACTGTCAAAGATCTCAGGCTTCATTTGCATTTTCAAATCCTGGTCGATGTCTATCTTTGATCAAAGGCGGAACATGTGACGCAGCCTTATATGAACTCTTAATTTTACTTCTTTAAGTTGAAATATGAATTTAAGACATCGATACTGATGCTATGGGGCAAGTTTCACGTTGATGACAAGAAACCGAAAGAAATCAATAAGAGAGTTTTGATGATGTCATAGCTTTGCGTGATAACAAAGAAACAGAAACTTTTCACTTAGGCCTTGTAGTGTCCTTGAATTTGTCTTAAGTGAGAAAAACTCAATCATCACTGCTGCTAAAATAATATACATATCCAAAACACATACATATCTATCCATTGTATGAATATATATTGTGTATAAAATGCCACTTGACGATATTCAAAAACATATTGACCGCTTACAGCAAGAATTAAAAGATCGTTCACTGAGTACTACAATAGTGGAGTCAGGGATACTAACCATCATCGTGTTAGTAACATTGCTTGGTAATGTTCTGGTGTGTCGTGCTGTTTATCAAASTCCAAGGCTTCGTACCATTACTAACTACGGTGTGGTGGTCCTTGCACTTACTGATATCTCCATGGCAGTGTTCGTCTTTCCTTTGGTCCTGAGTGTCTTCATCCTGGGCAAGAAGCCGTTCAGTCATGTGGTCTGCCAGTTTCAAGCCTATGCTGCAATAGCACTGGTGCAAAGCTCCATTTTCACAGTAACATTCATGTCAGTGAACCGTTACTTCAAGATTGTCAAGGGTGACCATGTTTATCGTAAAGTTTTCACAAGTAGAAAGTCAATTATGATTTTCATAGTGATGATCCTTGTAGCTTGGCTTGGACCGATCAACACTTATCTACAAGGGCAAGAGTTTCACTTTCATCCTGGAAAAATGATTTGCATGTATTCTTTTCACAAGCAGAAACCCGAAATCTCCATCATTACAGGCTTCATCTATTACTTACTGACGTACTGCATAACCATCTTCTGTTACTGCAGCATATACATCAAGGTGCGATCACATAACAAGAGGATAGCCAACGCTGCACCGAGTACAACCAACAACACAACAACAACTATCAACAGAAAGGATATTAACATCACCAAAACATTATTCGCTATATTCTTGGTTTTCACGCTTTGTATGATGCAGTTGTTGGTGGTTGACTCTACCGAGGTCTTCTATGGAGAGTACAAGCTCCCTCGACAAGTCTATGTTTTGTACACAGTGATGTGTGCTATGGCAAGCGCAATCAATCCTTTTATTTATGGACTGTTTAGTCCAGCATTTAGATCTGAATACAAGCGTAGCCTGCTGTGTCTAACAAATAGGGTGGAATCTGGACCTTCTACAGGAACTAATAGTCAAAGTATACAACGTAAAGACAGAGGTTTTACTTAGCCGTGAAATAGAGGTATATAGTAGATTCAGTTTATTTCCATCGTTTTTCTTATGTGTCTAGTTGACATTTATATGTTAGGCTGCGTTCATGATGTATGGCAGAGAGAGGGGGGGGGGGGAGAAGGAGGTGAAAATTTGAAATGTCCGTAAAAATTCTTAACACCCCCTTAAAGTCATGCAAAAATAATACGATCCCCCCGAAGCAAGGCTTGTAGCTTCTTCCAACAATTGTGCATCCCCCCTATTTTTCTGATAAATATTTGCCTATCCCCCCTTTTTCCTACCAAAATATTCCCGATCCCCTCTCAATTTCACCTGCCCCCCTCTGCCATACATTATGAACGCAGCCTTAGCAAGTACTAATTTCAGTTTCATGAGTTAAGGTAAAATAACTCTACAGTTTATGGTTTGTAATTCACTTTCGTGTTATATCATACTAAAGTGAATATTACATGGATAAGAGAAAATGCGACGTGAATGGGTATAGGTACAGATATTTAAGTTTTCGTTATAAAGTTTATTACAGCGAGTAGGGGAAAAGCTGGTTCATTAGGGAGTTTAATATGGTATGAAACTGACTTAAAAAGAAATGGCATAAAATATGAGTCTTGTGATGGTGAAGAGTACCCCATGACAGACCTATGAACACAATCGTTATTTTATCTTCCCTTTTTTCATTATTATTTCTCATTTCATTTCATTTTAATCAAAGTTGAAATAAGATGTAAGACTACTTGACTGACTAACAGTAGTCATGAAGTATAAAAAAACCATGCAAATAAGTAATCAAGTCTATTCCACTCGTTTATACCAGCAAATGAACCACTATGATAATCCTAGACGATACGACTGTATATATATATACAAGTCTTTCCCTACGAATCATAACTATGGCATTTTACTCTACAGTGATCAACCACTTCACATGAGTAAGCTAACATCAATGATATAATGAATACGTCACTGGAGGGTTTTCAGTCCTACGTGATTAACTACGGCATGTTCAGGAGGGCACCACTGACTTAGAGGAATGACAATTCATGACATAGAAATAGATAAGTCTAATAGACATATTTGGACAATAAATCCTTCGTATTATTTAGTTTCATCTAACAATTATTCACTGACTATTAGATATTGGCTTCCAACTTATCATTATGAACTGATTGCAGATATCATTAGAACTAGATGGACTAAGTAAGCGGGTCAGATATATCCAGAAACGAAAGAATAAAGAACACTAACAATATATCTTGTAAATCATTTATATAAGGGACCTTTAAGGGAGGTGGATGGGGCGTTGGCCGATAGGACTAATGATGCGAAAGTGTTTGGTAACTGCTATAACAACGAGAACGCCTCAACAACGCCCTCCATTTGCAGTTAACCCTGAAACACCCTCTTAGGATATGTAAATCAAGGCACGGATAACGTAGCATATTTGCAGGTAAGCACTGTTTGATAACCATTCTATGATCAATAAGAAAGGTTTCGTTCGTTCGTTTGTCCGTCCGTCCGGTTATAAGCCCATCAAAAACCCATTACGAATGATTACAAGCTCAGAGCTTGTAACCGGAATTTGAAGGCATATATTTTCCCCCTAAAGTGCACTTTTGATATGTCTTTCGTCAATATTTGCCCGGTATACCAGTAGTGCACGTAAATGTCATTCATGTTTATTTTATCGGAAGCTCTTAGTCAACATATGGAATTTCAAGTGTCAACTTTTTAAGGGGACTTATTCCTTGATTGGCTTATAGGATGGAATAAAGAAGAGACTTCTGGTCTGTTGTAAGGTTTAATTTGTAAGAGTTCACGTGCAAGAAAGGCTTTGCACCATCACGAGCAATGGGACAGTTGAATCTGGTCTAATCTGAYTTACATGAGAAAGAATTCAGTTTCCAAGGGGAAAAGATTCTATTTTTTTGCCCCCTGTCATGGCTGCCATCACGTGATTTTGCAAAGCCCCCATTCTCTACTTTACCATAATCCATAATGCTTTGCTTCATGAGGGTAACCAATCAAAAAACTGTCCCAAATTGAAACGTTGAATATATTGAATATATACTATACCTATTTTTATCTGTACAAGACTGATCAGATAACCAGACTGATCAGATACTATCAGTTTATTCTGAGTTAATTATTTTGCGCATACAGATCATCAAGAGATAATTTGGTGTTACAGAAAATGTATTGACATACGAAAAAATATTCAAAATTTATTTTAAACTTATTCAAGCTTCTGTCTTTTTCTGTTTTTCACTTCTTCATTTCATTTTGGATACCAAACGAGGTATTGTCAACAGTGTCTGATTAGCCTTCAGCAAAATAAGTGCGGTTTTTACTTCTCGTTACCCTCCAAGGCCGTAAAGTATTATGGGTATGGGAAGGTAGAGAATACCCCAGTTTCGCCTTCAATGTATACCCGCGCTGTTTTTACCACTCTTTTCGTTGCTACGCGCTGATCGAGACAACATTCGCGACAGGGAAATTGGGCAATACACTTCCGTCAATCAAATAAATTGGTCGGTATCTTTATATTCTCTGATTGACGGCAGTGTATTGCCCTATTTCCCTGTTGCGGCTGTTGTCTCGATCAGCGCGTAGCAGTGAACAGAGTGGTAAAGAACACAGACTCATTTGTGTTGTATCCCTGAACCCAGTAACAATGGTGAGCACCTTTCGAATTGTAGAACAATCTCATTCAGACTCTAACTCGTCATGCCATGTGTTCTGGCTCGCATCTAATGCGCATGTTACACAGGAATCCCACACGTCGGGCTAGAAGGGCTAAAAAATGTTTCATTTAGACAAAAGTTTTTGTATTTCATTAAAATTTCTTGAAACTTGGTAACGTTAAAGAACCTAACAAATCTCACAACTCTGTCGTTTTACTTTTTTAAATTTCGACATTTTTGGCGGGAAAATGACATCATCAAATTTAGCGGAAAATCGAAATACTCCTCAATAGAAAATTCTAACTAGCGCATTTGAAAGAACTGCACACGAGGAGTTCAAAAATGCAAAATTTGTTCATTTCGGATATGGAAACCAAAAGATATGATTTTTTAAATATTCATGAAGCCGCCATTTTGTTTCTAAAAATAGTAATAGTTTGCCGACGTGCCACCACGTATACAACAATTTGCACAGGATCAACCACGTTTATGAATCAGCTATTCACAGTAATTTCTGAACATTAAAAAGGTTGTGTACTCATTTAATCTCATTAAATTTGTATTCAAGTTTGCACGGCCATGTTTTCKGGTTGTTTTTCAACATGAACGACTGTAAAAGCAACTTGGATAGCTGAATCTTGTAGAAAATGTCTTCAGATTCAAAGGCTGATGAAATAATATTAGTCATGCTGAACTTAATACGACTAGTTAAACAATAAAAAAGATTTTTCAATACATTTTGTTGTTTTAGATAAGTTTGGTGTCGGTCCACACGTCATGTTCTTTCTTGGRCATGCGTAGACTTGTAATCTAGACGTCATTTGTTTAGTGAGCATGCGCAATGCTTTGCACAAGTCCCACACGGGTTATGCCATAGCCCTTTCTTAAGTACCGTAAATTATTATTATTTGATCTTTAAGTAAACTTGAAAGGTTGATCGAGATGTAAAGAAATCCGAATTAACTCTTGTTTTGAATTAGATAAATGTAGGAACAAAACCTGTTAAATTGCTAATAATAATAGGTCTATTTCTGTATAAGGGAAGTGGATTAAAAATCGTTGAATAATGAATTTAAAAGACAATTTAACTATTCATATGAAACTTGAATGTAACTGAAACAAATAGTTTTCAAAAGTGCGGTTTATGAGAAAATAACAAAGTTGAAGGTGTTGTGTGCTATGTTTATGTGAATTGTTAAAACCACTCAGCACGCAATTAATATTATACGGCACTTATGTCATTCTCATCCTACAACACGTGCCGTGTCCTTCAAGTAACTTATATCTTATCCCTGGCTATGGGTATTATATCCATGCAAAAAACGTTAAACAAACGTATTCGACATGGATAATCCTGTTGGAATAGCCAATTTTAGTCCCTTGGGATTTGATCGACTTTTTCGYTCCTGCAGATAATTTATGCCTAGCGCAAAAAAAGGTAACAACGCTCATGAGAGCGCTGCTCGAGCCAAGAAATAATAAAAGGAAAAAGATTGAACAAGAAAATGAGTGATATCCAAACAGCGAGAAATGCAGTTAACCTTTAACGTGTTGTCTGTATTAAGGGTGAAATAGTCTTGCCAGTTTTCAATATAAACTATTATCAATTCATTGACATTTCTTGGAGAAAATGCAAGCCAAAAGTGAGCATTTCCTTATCTTCATTTGAATTTCCTATTCGAGCATCTTCACAATCCTTTGTTTTGTCCTCATGAAATATGTATGAGCCTGAGAAAAGAAGATYCCACATGGACCACRGTGGTGGTATTACCTAGATAGTTGCATTTTGATGAGACGGGGAGGTTGGATGGGGATGCGGAGGATCCTATATGAGTTTTCATCCACTTTTCCAGGGATATTCCAATGTCGAGATCTTTCCTTGCTGGATACCCAGATTTATGGGTCTTCCATGATATCTCCCCGTATAGAATAGTACGATAAAGGACAAAAATAAAGGTACTTCCTCGAACAGAAATCTTGATAAATTGTACATTTATTAACAAATTGTACATCCCACATGGACAGTTGTGTTTAAAATATAGAGAAGGAAGGCACCTGCATGGGGAGGAGGAAGGGGTAGATGGAGGACGAAATTATGAAACGACACATAGACATTCTAGAGTGTCTCTATAAAACTGAACACTAAGTAAATATCAAAGATTCTTAA